GAAAATTAATAATAGAGTTTAATTTTTAATTAAAATCTCCAAAAATTTGAGAGTTTGACACCTAACCAAATTAATCCATAAATGCTTCTCTTTTAATATATAGAGAATATGACTAGTGAGTAATATACCACCTAATTTCTTTTAATAGTATGTATATAAATATCGATACGAACTTATTGTCACCGAAAAAAGTTGAGTTTTTTCTATTGGTATTTGGTGATATAAAAATATGTTGAAACAGTCTTGCGGTTTTAGATCACCAAATAATTGGCAGTCTCTTTTTTTTTTGTCTTTCGATGACTTTTGTAGTATCTGGCAATTAAATCAAATTATAATAATTTCTTGTCATAAAAAAATTGGTCTTCTGAACTTATTCTGCGATTTTTGTATTTCAAATTGGAGTTCTAATAAGTTTTTGAAAATTTTCCTGTCAGTACATATTGAAGAATTTCTTTAACAATAAAAAAAAAAACATATTGAAGAATTTTGTATTTTGTGAGGAGGACCCATGTAAAGTAAGGTGTGGAGCAAATTCCATCCAAAAGGACACATATCCGGTGGACCAACACTAAATCACAAGTAAACTATTGAAATTAATTTCATCGATAAAAGATACACAAGCAAGAAAATCAGTGATGCCCTCACTCGTGGTATAAAAATTTCAGAACTAAACATGCATTCATTATTCATAAAACTATATTTTGTTTTTTGACATCCAGTCATAAAACTATATATAATAACACATTTATATCAAATTGGCAGAATTAGAAGTTTTGAAGATTTATTTTCCAAAACTTTACGTTCATATACAGTAGGATATGAAGAATGTCAGAGAGGTCTTAACAAAAAAAAATGAATGTCAGAGAGGTCTTAACAAAAAAAATGAATGTCAGAGAGGATTTTTTTTCTTTAAATCTTAGTGCAAAACTGATTTTCACATTGAGCAGGATTATTTCACCTCGTTGACACTTGATTAACTGTATCCTCAAAATCTTGAAAAAGAAAGACAGCCCAATACATAAATTATAGTACACG